AAAAGATCTATGATATACGCTAAAGAAACGCCAAACGGTACGCTAAAAGATCTATGATATACGCTAAAGAAACGCCAAACGGTACGCTAAAAGATCTACGATATACGCTAAAGAAACGCCAAACGGTACGCTAAAAGATCTACGATATACGCTAAAGAAACGCCAAACGGTACGCTTAAACATCTTAAGATATACGCTAAAAAAATGCCAAACGGTACGCTAAACGATCTACGATATACGCTAAAGAAACACCAAATGTTACTCTAAAAGATCCATGATATACGCTAAAGAAACGCCACACGGTACACTAAAAGATCCAAGATATACACTAAACATTAATAATGTAAAACAGTACGGCATAACAGCAGCACCACAATGTAATACATTGGGCTGATACATGTTATACAGTGTAGTTAATTATTAGTAATGATTGCTGTATATATGTACCGTAGACTGCAGTATCCTCTTCTTGGGGCAGCTGTGGCTGAGTGGTTAGAGCAGTTGTCCTCCAATGCAAGAGTTGGGGGTTCGAATCCACCAGCAGTCACAGGCTGAAGTGTCCCTGGGCAAGACAATGAACCCCTCATTGCCTCTGATGTGTGTCCTATCGGTGAATACCGGTATGAATGTGATTAAGCTCTGATTAGTCTCTTTAGAATTATTTGTTCAATTAACTTTGTATAGATCTAGTAGAGTGTTGTATGAATGGGTAAATGAGGGCACGGATTGTAGTGTAAAGAGCTTTGCGTATATTGATAGTAATAGAAAGGTGCTATATAAGTACAGTCCATTTGCCTTTTACTTAAGGAAAGATCAGGGAGATCTCAGGGAATTTTGTTGTCATGAAACGCTGGGAACCCTCTACGTGCCAGGTGTCTACTGTGTATGTGCCTGGTACTTACCAGATGCGTACACGATACCTGCAGAGTATGTACAGTATCTGGTACTTAATAGGTAAGTACCTTTTACAGTACTTGTAAGTACCATGTAACAAGTCACTTCCTAATACAGACCCATATGTGCCAGGTACGTATTGTACCATGTACCGGTAAGTACCAGGCTGTATTATGTTTTATCAAAAATGAGTTTATGGACAGAAAGAGTTTTAAAAAAAGCAGCCTAGGTCCAAAGAAATAAATTAAAAGCCCTTCAGAAAACCTAGAGAAATATTGATCAAGATGACAAAGTGCTTTAAAGGAAAATGCAAAAAATGAGGAATGAACACTTTTGCGCTGAAGTATAGAGTTTAACTTTGGTTTAACTGTGATTTTAAAAGATTTAAAAGGAAATGGAATCTGTAATCAGTATATAAAGTTACTATAACTTGACCGTTTCCTCTGATTGCATATAGTTATGAAGAGTTTTAAACTAAAAGATCCTCTTGCTTTGACCTGAAAACAATCCCTCCTTGTTTAGATTTAAAACCTAAAAACTAGCGCTCATTTTAGAGAAAGTACAGCCGTCCACTCTGTCTCATCGCCTTCCTTCAAATAATTGTTTCCACCTGAGGAAAGCATCTCGCCTCCGTCTGACAGCTTAACCTTTGCGGTTGTCATGCATTCCCTGTACTGTGTTCCCTCTGCAGCTTATGAGCGCCGTGAAGAAGGGACAAGTGTCCGACAGCCGCCTGGCCATCCTCATGAAAACAGCCGAGGAGACCCTGGACAAGAGAGGGCCAGTGACGGTGGACCGGAGTGGGGGCGGAGTCTAAGCCTGATGAAAACCATCGGCAGAGTTAGAGGTGGATAATGACGTCTGAAAAGGCGGGGAAGAATGCAAATGGCACGATTTGAATGACAATCACGCAATCAGGGACGCAGCAGGATGAATTTGGTCGAATCAAGCCGCACTCCTCGGTGTGTTTGGGGTGAAATCGTATCTAATGATTGAAGTCAGGGAGAAAATGTTCGTCTGCTGTAGACATCTCATTCCTCTGAAAACACAAGGTTCTACATGTCCTTCAAATCATGGCATCTTTGGAAACACTCCTTCCTTTGAGCAACAACTGACTGTTGTATCGGCTGGATCATCGTGCTTTATTTTATGCCATCGCAATTTTATAATTATCCAAACATTTCCACAAAAGAATTTCAGCCGTTTTTCTTTAATGCGTCAAAAGGAAACATTCAAAACCGCAGCTAAAAAAAACACGACTTTCAGTATTTATGGTTAAGCGTATTAACTGAAGTAAAAGTACAATATCAGAAGAAAAAGATGAATTTACGAGGCTGATGGTTAAATAATATTTCTCTTTGAACAGCTCCCTTAGTTATTTTCCATCTCACTGGCTGTGGCCAGTGGGGATAAATTGCCAAGAGCATCTGTAAAGAAGTTTCCAGAATATCTCGACACTTTCTCAGGAGTTGGTTTCCTCACTTTTGCTGAATGTCTTGAACATGTTCAAAGCTTTAGAGCAAGGGTGTCAAACTCACTTACTAAAGGGGGCCAAAATTAAAACCTCTTTCAAACTTAAGGGCCAATTTCAAAATCTACATTAACTCAAATCAAACGTGTTTGCTTGGTCGCAGGTTCCTCAACAAGAGTTTGATTGGTCTCATTTGATGTTCTCTGTTGTGCTTTCGACATCATAATCAAAGATTACTGAAAAAAATTCAAGAAATAGAAGTATTTTACGTTTCACATATCTTGGGGTCCACATAAGATGTCAGCGAGGGCCACCTTTTGCCCCCATGGCCTTGAGTTTGACACGTATGCTTTAGAGTGACAAATTTTCTGTCAAAAATAATCGCCGAGTCACTGCGGGCGTCTCAGACCCGTCCACACTGAAACGCCGTTCTCCCAAAATTATCTTGTTGTTTCTAAAAACACCTCCGTCCACACAGCACAGTTTGTAAAAATGTCTCACTGTTGACACAAATTTGACCAGATATTCAGTGATTTCAAGCCCGGGTGGAGTCCAAGTGTGTGTTTTATCATCGTTTTGTGTCTCCAACCACTCTCTAACAGCCTAGTCTCTTCTTTTAGTCTAAAATGAAACCGTTGCAGTGTTGCCAGATCTTGCAATAGAAACAAGCAACCAGCTCTATGAAAACAAGCCCAACTGGCAACCCACCACATTGCGTCAAACAGAGGCCGTTTTTAAACAGTATAAACATACATTATGGCATTACACATTAACAGCAGCAAAATTATGCTAAACATTTTGCATAACATACTTTTAAGCTCTGATTTAAAAAAAATACATTTTGCATATGTAATGTTTTCTACATATTTTTAAAAACAAAACATCCTGGCATCTGCGTGTGAGTGGAGCCCCCTAGTGGTCGGCTACAGTACGAGTTTGTTTGGGCGCCTGTCGCCTCGCAAACTTGGGCGGAAGCGATAAACAGGAAACGGGAGCGTGGAAGGGACAAACTACCTACCACCACTCGTCTTTTGCTTTATTGTGCGGAGCGGGGAGATAATCAGCTAGTTCCACTTGCCTAAATAAGCAACTTCACGTTCAAAAACAAGCCCAAAAAAGGCGACTCACAAGATTTGCAAGCGACTTTAGAAAAAAAACAAGTCTAAAGTCGCTTATAAAGCGGACTTGGCAACCATGAACAGTTGCTGTTGTCAAGACCCCGCCCCCACTTTCTGATTGGTCAGATTCTGAAAGCCATAATAAACAAGCAAGTGTTTATGAGCTCTTTGATGGCTTAAAAAAAAAAGAAGGACCTGTCAGTTTTATGTTTACAGGATTTAATTTTACTATTTTTTTAAATTTGGAACTTCAAACTAATATAAAAAAAATCTAACATTTTAGGTATAACAGTAAACAAACACTGCTAATATTAATGACAGCATTTTTTTTATATAGAGTTGATTAAGTACTTTTAATTTTTTTGGTATAATTTATTGCAGTATCCTAAGTTTTAGATCTGTTAAGTTCGGAGCAAATAAATGAATCAAAGCTGTTGTGAAGCAAAGTCTCACCCTTCAACAAATTCAATGTTTACCTGCAGAGAAGTCAGTAAAACAAATAAGGGCTGAATATTGGCATGGTTTTAAAGAAGCACTGTTTTTATGTCTTTACTCTCGTCGCCGTCCATAAAAGTGTTTATACTCTGAAATGCTCCTGCTGCTCATTATATATTATTTTTTTCGCACACTGACGTTTACGCTGATCTCAATATTTTATACGAACATTTATTCTTTTCGTCACTACAGATATTTATTGTGAGCTTTTATTAAATTATATTATGAATTAAATAAAACAATGGATTCTCATGGGAATAGCGAGGTTTTGTAATCACGTGTACAACTTTTTTACATAAAACGTGGGTGGTTGTACTTTTTATTTTACGTTTCTGACAGAAAACAAGTGATTTATATTAAAGCACAACCAGTGTTTGACCGGAAACTGGTTTATTCTGAATGTTGGGCGTTTTATTTTATTTTGATAAACAGTCATAACTGTGTAATAACACGATTGTATACATGTGCCTTCATGATGACGGTCCTGCGGCGATTACAGATAAAAAGTAACACTCTCAGTGTAAATGTTTAAAAGTTTGGAACATGAACTGTGTTTAAATGATATTTAATGGGGGTTTTGTGCAAGAAGAGGACTGCTGAATGTGTTGGGATATTTTTTAACTGATCATTTTTTATGTTTCCGTTTTTAATACCATCCATTGTCATTTGAGCTCTAATTTTTTTTTAATGTTTTTGCGCATTATGTGGATAAAGTTCCTGGATGGGAGCTAAAAGTTAAATATATAATAAATAATTTCAAGCTGGACCAAAGTGTTGGATAATTTAATTATCCCATCTGCTGATTAAATAAATAAGCCACAGAGGAAGGAGATGTGACATGATTAAGTGAAAAACATCTGTGACCTTTCACATGTCCATCATAAAGTATGTGGCTTCAATTCAATTCATAAGTACTTTATTAATCCCAAAGGGAAATGAAATGTAACTCATCATCCTCGTTTCATTAAGAGATGTTATAGATACTGATGGCTGTAGGCAGGAAGGTCCGTCCCACAGCGGATCTGAAGAAACTGACCACTGAAGCCGTTCGATACGTCCACCCAGATTTGGCTGCGGCCTCTTGGTTCAGGCAGCAGGATCGCCCAAATGCCGGGTTGAACTCCTCCCAGAGTGATGACCACACCTTCCAGCAACCTGCCGAGCTCCTCGTCGCTGCGGACAGCCGGCCGGGGGACGATCCCGATCCTTCTCCTGCCACGAGCTGCGTTTCCTGCCAGTTCCAGGACTTCAGTGGTCAGGCACTCGAACACAGCCGGCAGGGAGACGTCAATGCATCCACGGCGCCTCCTTTTCAACTCATTTGAGATTTGGGGCTGTAGTTGAAGTATTATTTGAGCTCTTGCGATGTTAATCAGCTGCTACCGGTTGTAGAAAACCAGCTTGTTGTTATGGTTACGCATCACAACAAATGCCCAAAATTTTACAAAAGTTCCAGTGAAAATCCTTCCAGCTGCACAGCATCTGATACCAGAGGAAACAATCGTCCAAAAAAAGTGATTTACATCCAGAAAAAGAGAAGTTTCCGAAAGCAAAGAAAGAACGTAACAGAGCTTCTCTAACATGCAGCTACCCCGAGCAGCACAATTCTAGAACAGTAATTCTGGAATGTTTTCTCTCACAAAAATATTTAAAATTTGGGCAGAAGAACATGGTTTGAACTCTTTAACTACGTCTTATAGAGTGAGGGTGCATATTTGTGTTCATCTACCTTCACTCTGAGGTCGTCAGCGCCACCTATCAGGAACTCCTTCAGCTTGATTGTCTTGTTGGATGAAACTAGAGGTTTATCCAGGCTCAAACAGAACCAGATTTCTGTGGCGATGGTAACACATGTAGTCTGTCCGCAGGTAGACCAGAAACAGCACTGATCTTAAGGAGCTTCAGGGATTTTAATATTTCTTATGGACATCAGTCCAATTAAATTCAGCAATAATTATAAAAATGTATTTTAGGTATTAGAAAGGTTAGAATGGAGCAAAATTAGCTTGACTAGTTTAAATGCATATGCTGTAGCTCCATTTTTATTTTATTTTTTTTACAAATGTTCAGTTATTATTTGGTGTAGTAGTAGCCGAGAGTCATCCAACACAGTGAGTCATAACAATTTGAATAAAATCTTTGTTCAAAACTTCTGGCATGCAAGACAGAATGGGTGATGTGCATTCCTTTCTAAGAGGTTACATATTAATGGAATTACGAATAGTTTTTTAAATTGTAATACATGAATAAAAACCTTTTTTTGTTTTTGTACATTAAAATAAAGCTTCTTTGTTTTTAACCTTGCATAGTTAATGCCCTTAAACCAGTGCTTAATTTGAACTGGATCCTTTAGGAACTCTTATTTTGATAGGGTGCATTCCAGTAACTGCTTGGATGTGGTAATTCTCAGGATTGCTAATAATAAAGTTATGAACAAATGGGACTGCCTTGAATGAATAAAACTTATACTGGATATATAAACTGAAAATGATTACATAAACACTAATTTTAAACAACAGCCACTTATGAGCATACGACCTGCCCTTCAAGTAGCATTTCCACATCTACCCTTAAAAAAAACTCCGTCCCTAAAAGAGTGGTGGAGGTGAGTGCCTAGCTAACCCAGGCAGTTGTACGCGGGCAGAAGCCCACAGACAGGTGCCTGGAGGGTTCATATGAGGAGTTGGACAACAACGAGCAGGGACAGTGTCAGGCTCGGAACCATAGTGTTTCCGCTACCATTTTACAAGCGGGGCACCCCGTCCCTTTAACAGAACAGAGCACCCCGCCTACTGAACCGAACTGCGCACACCCCCCGTACCCATTGGTACTGGCATAGCGCTAAGCAAGTGGCGCGCAATACAATACAGGCGCGCTAGCTATAAAGATAAAGGCTTAGTGTTTACAAATGTAGGT